AGCAGGGACAGGAGAGGAGTTAGTGTGGGGTGACAGAGGGAGGCAGGCATGCAGGACTTTGGAAGCTGTGTGGGTGGTCCCGACTTTACCCCGACAATGGGAAACTGTGAAAGTTTGGAGTAAGCAATGCGATTATAATTTAAAATTTTTGCATTATCAGTAAGAGAGGTAGGGGGTTGAAGGAGCATGGGACATATTAGGACTTCCTGGTTATGCTCCTTACTTCACGATGGGCTTATACTCCCACAGATCCATTGAAAACTGAAATTGAATCCAAATGCAGTTACTACATCTAACCTACCCGACATCACAGCCTTATGACCCAGCACCCTGTAGGGTAGCAGGGAGGGGAGAGGTTGAAGCAGGAAGCAAAGAGCACAGGGAGTGAGAAGGAATGGATTGTGGCATATATTGAGATATTGCCAACAAAATCTGTAGTATGATTTCTGTTGAACGGCTGTCACTTTTGAAAAATACCAACTCAAACTGTAAGTCAAGGGCCATTTGTATGTGTGATCTTCTATACTGATGCTAATCCACATGAGAGGGAGTCAGTTTGGATTCAGTTGGAGGATGAGAGAGAGAGAGAGAGAGAGAGAGAGAGAGAGAGAGAGAGAGAGAGAGGAGAAATAGTGGTAGAGGGAGGTATAGGCAGGACCTGATGATGAGGCTGGATACACTGAACTGCTAGACTGCACCTCTGCTCTTCACACGTACACTCAGATGTTTTTATTCAACCCCATATTTGTTGTTAACTTGTTTTTTTAAAATTTACACTTAAGCTCATTTAAGTAAACTCCAACTGGATGGCAACAAGTATAGTAAATATCAGAAAATATTTTCCAACTATTGTGGTGACATATGGCCCCATAATTCTGGATTTCATAGTACAGCAGTTTGACTTCTGTCTCACTTGCTTGGATAAGGCTGTACTGTTAAGGAAACTGAAACATGTTTTTAAAATGTCACAGCCTTTGGTTTCTGGATGTCCACATTAGAAACAGGAAAAAGTAAAGCAAAATTATCATGGGTTTGAAAGAAACATGATGAATGCAAATTTTTAATATACAAATTTTATATTCTATTTCTATCACTGTAGTTTGTTTTTAGGCAACAAGGGTTTGGTTTCCTGCCACAAGTTCATTTTGGTAATTGGTTTTAGAATGTAAACTAGAGGCAGAGAGTGGAGGTCCAATGAATGCCTTTCTAACCAGACCTGAAAGCTTGGTTTATCTCTGGGAGGCTATTCTGCTCAGGGCAGTAACAGTTATCTTCCACTGTGCACCGGGAACTTGGGACTTTTTTTTTTTATTATTATTTGAATTAGAAACAAGATTGTTTTACATGTCAATCCCAGTTCCCTCTCCCTCCCATCCTCTCCTACCACCCCCCCTCAACTAAAACCCTACCTATCCCATCCCCTTTCTGCTCCCCAGAGAGGGTGACGCCTTCCGTAGGGGGTCTTCAGAGTCTGTCATATCCTTTGGGATAGGACCTAGTCCCCCTATGTGGGATGGGCTCCCAAAGTCCATTCCTATGCTAGGGATAAGTACTGTTCTACAACAAGGGGCTCCATAGATTTTGAAGGTCTCCTCCCTGACACCCACATTCATGGGGTCTGGATCAGTTCCATGCTGGTTTCCCAGCTATCAGTCTGGGGACCAAGAGCTCTCCCTTGTTCAGGTCAGCTGTTTCTGTGGGTTTCACCAGCCTGGTCTTGACCCCTCTGCTCATCACTCCTCCTCCTCCTCTGCAACTGGATTCCAGTTCAGTTCAGTGTTTAATTGTGGGTGTCTGCTTCTACTTCTACCAGCTGCTGGATGAGGGCTATCGGATGGCATATAAGTCAATCATCAATCTCATTATCAGGAAAGGGCATTTAAGGTAGCCCCTCTGTTGCTTAGATTGTTAGTTGGTGTCATCTTTGTAGATCTCCAGACATTTCCCTAGTGCCTGATTTCTCTTTAAACCTATCACATCTCCATCTATAATGGTGTCTCTTATCTTGCTCTCCTCTATTCTTCCCCCAACTCAACCTTCCTGCTCCCTCCTGTCCTCCTCACCCCTCCTCTTCTTCCCTTCTCATTATCCTAGCTCCCCCTTGCTCCCAATTTGCTCAGGAGATCTTGTCCCTTTCAGGGGGACCATGTATGTCTGAACTTGGGCTTTTTAAGCAGCTAGTTTGTTCGTACTTTCTTTTATGGCCATTATAAAGAGCAATGAAAGGAGCCATCCATAGACCAAGGCAAGGCATGTCTTTACCATACAGTGCCAATGCTGAGCACAAGGGCCCAGAACTCAGGAATTCTTTGTGGAAATACCTAGTCTTGAGCCATTGTTTCTTAGAAGTCATTGCTGCTGCTGCTGCTGCTGCTGTTCTGCCTCCTCTTCCTCGTTCTCCTCCTCCGTTTTCTTTTTTAAATGTAAGCTGAGTCTTTTATTGTTTTTATTTCATTTTATTTTGTGTATGATGTTTTGCCTGCATGTGTATCTGTGTACCCCTTGAATGCCTGGTTCTCAGGGATACTAGAAGAGGACATTCAGTCTCCTGGGACTGGAGGTACAGGTGGCTTTGAGCCATTGAACCAAGTCCTTTGTAGAGTAATAAGTGTTCCTAATTAAGTGCTAAGCTATCTCTCCACCACCTCCCCCCGATTCTTAAATTTGTTTTCATGAGAAACTGAAAAAATAAAATGAAGTGTGCACTTTCAATTTTCCAAGAATAAAAATACCAAATACTTGACAAAGGAATAGTGTATCATGGGCAAGGTATGCTTGTAGTGGTTAAAGATTCGAAGCATGTGACACGAGGAGCTGGGCTGCATTGTACCCAAAAAAAAAATTAGTCAAAAGATTTCAGTGTGTGTAAACTAGAAAAATACATTGAACTTGAATTTCTGGGGGTTGGCAGGCAGTTTCATGGGAAAGCATGTATAAAGAAAGCCCTGGGTTCTATTCCTGGCGTGTATACATGAGCATAAGTGCATGCACGTGAGCATGTGTGTGTGCATGCATACAAACACACACACACACACACACACACACACACACATGCTTGAACACACAAGCATGCGCACACATGTATAGATGCTATAGAATTTTTTTAATTCAGTATTTGAACTTTAAATTACATAAGTAAAATATGAGAAGTTCCTAATAAAACCATACGCTCTAGGTTATTCTTATTCATTGTTGTTCAGCTCTTTGACTAAAATTAAATGTAAAATCTTCCTTATTTATAAAACCAAATGACCACTTAAGAGTATTTTATCCCAAGGAGAGGAAGCTGACACTGACCCCCAGCTACTATACTCAGATGTAGGGACTTCCAACATGTTTATACAAGTCAATTTTGGTTCCATTTTCCTAAAGAAAGAAAGATGTCACAGGAAGGGTTAATTGTATCCTAAGAATAAGAAGAAGCATGGAAATGAAATGTTCACCTTGAAGGAAGCAAGTATATTGAAAGGACTGGCCTAATAAGCCAAGGATGCAGGCAGGTGGGCCTGTGGGTCAAACCTGCCAGGCTGTCATTAACCCTGGGCTTTGTTCTCTTTCCCTCTGGCCCCTTTATATGATCATCACAGCCCACTATCCCTGAGGACCATGACTCTCCCTACCCAGATTTCACTTGTCCTCTGCTCTGTGATGGACAGGACAATTGTCCTAACTTTTATCTTTGAGGACACAGGTCAGCCCTCATAGTAAACAGATTTAGATGATGTTACCAAATTAAATGCACTGGGATTCTGGCAGCCTCCGGCAGCTAAACCAGACAGATTTACTACCGCCTTCTTCTTCTTCTTTTTCTTCTTCTTCTTCCTCCTTCTCCTTCTCCTCCTCCTCTTCCTCCTCCTCCTCCTCTTCTTCTTCTCCTCTCCTCCTCCTCATCTCCTTCTTCTTTTTTTCTGTTTTTATGATACTATCCTAAATGAAAAAGAATACACCCAATATAAATTTGAGATGTTCAAATTTGAGGTGTTTGTGTTATTGAAGCCTCAAAAATGTTTATTGTCTTAATCACTTCTATTAATATGATTTAGGTAAATAGTTGTTGTTGTTGTTGTTAGTATTATTAATGGAATTTTGTATCACTGGGGATTGAACCTAGAGCCACATATGTGCTAAGTAAGTGTTCTACTATGAAGCTACATTTCCTGGGCCCATTGTCTGTTTTGCTTTTTGAGACTGTCTCACCAAATAGCCAGGGCTAAACTTGAACTCACTTCACAGTCCAGACAGGCCTTGAACACCTTTGCTGTCCCCACAACTGAGATGACAGCCCTGGCAGGTCCGACCCCTGTGGGTCCTTTAGGACCAATGTGCTCCACATATCTTATTACATAGTGTTATTTTTCAGGCACTTAACACATGTATCCCCTCCCATCCGATGATTTAAATCTTTAACCATCACAAGCATGCATTGTCCAAAATATACAACTCCTTTTTCAAATACTGAGGGTTGCAGTTCATCAACTGTGAGGGAGCTAAGGCAGCAAGAACCAGTCAAGAGCAGACAGCTATGAATTTAGACATGAATGTTAGTGCTCGGTGGCTTACCCGACTCATACAGTCATGCCCAGGGAATGGTGCCACCCACGGTGTGATCAGTTAGCAGAATCAACCCCCCAAAGACATGCAACCAAATCGGGATAACTCCTTACTGGACTCTTCCCAGGTGACTCCAGGTGTGTCAAGTTGACAATTAGCACTCATCCTCACTGAGGAAATTAACCAAATAAACACTCAGGACTTAAGAGACCTAAAAGGTTTTGGTCATGTATTTTTCTGTAACCCCGAAAAAGGATCGCTTGGATTTCATTCATTTCCCCCTGATGGCACTTAGGTCACTAGCATCCCATTCTGAGTCCATTGCACGACAAACCAACCTGTTTCTAAAATCGTTGTCTCTGTGCTCATTAGAGTGAACTCAGTTACACACTCCTCCGGTACTGCCTTGAACTGAGAGAATAGCATTCCTTTCTCCCTGCTGTGCACAGTGCAGCTGCAGAAGCTGACGCTATTGATCCACTGATCAACATCCTGTCGAGCAAGCGGGATGGAGCCATCGCCAACGCTGCCACTGTGCTGACCAACATGGCCATACAGGAGCCTCTTCGCTCCATCATCCAGGGTCACGACGTGATGCAGGCGCTACTGGCCCCGCTGCACTCCACCAACACAGTGGTGCAGAGCACCGCAGCACTCACCGTGGCTTCCACCGCCTGCGACGTGGAGGCCCGCAACCAGGTGAGGCTGGACTGTTACACGATTTGTAGTCATTCCGTCTGCTCAGATAGATATCCCAATCTTCTCTACCTGTCCTCATTCCTGTGGGCACGGTTTCTTCCTACCCGTCTACGAGGCGTCCAGCTAGCCACTGGGTATTTTTTTTTTAACCTACTATTATGCTGTGCGGGAAGTTGGAAATGTGATAAGCAGAGACAGTGCTGTAACCATGCTATCGTGTGCTTGCAGAGGGGTCTGCCTAGCCTGGGACACTGCCAAAGATTCTTTCCTGCCTTCCCTCCTCCCCATACTAACCCTTTAGCTTGTGACCCTCCTTACATCATTGCAAGGTCCTTTTGGGTTAAGAGGGAAGCTGGTAGGCTTTATATACAAAATTCCTGCATGACCTGCACCTGCTGCCCAACAGCCCAAGCTACAGGATTTCCTAGAACACCACAACACAGAAACACCCGCTGTCCATGTCAATGTGCCCTCTTATTTTACCTCCTCCGTTTCTCTGAATGGAAAGGTAGTCTCCTCTTTTATCCACCTGGTAAATTCCTTTACCCATTCAAAGCCAACTCTACCACCTCCTCCACTGGCCTTTCTCCGGCCCTCCAGCTTGGCTGGACCAACCCTTGTCCGCTCCTGTTACTCCCCATGTCTTTCCTTGTCTTCCTTTCCACATTTTATGGTTCTTGAAGGAAAAATTATAAACTATTTCAAGCTTTGGGGAAAGGAATGGAAAATCCTGCCCAATGTCTATTATTAACTATATATCTGGTCCATAATGTTCGCTTATGCATTATTTACCTACAGGGTCTCACTGCATTCAAGGCTAGCCTCTGGCCTGGGTCTCACCATCCTTCTCCCTCTGCTCTGAGAGCTGGGATTACAGATGTGGGCATCCACACCTGACTTTCATAATGCCTATTTGATGAATAGCTGCTAAATGAATGAGAAAATGAATGGATAGCAGAATTAATAAGTTAGCTCTCTGCCAAAAGAACACAAGTCATTAGATTTCTATCTTGTTTTATACCCAGAAATAACTGTGGCCAGAAAACTGGCTTCCTAAGCATCCCATGCTTCAGATGAACCAGTGGTTTTCTGTGATGATGATGCATGGATGTCCCTGTGTTTGTTTGACTTGAGAATGCTTGAAAGTGGATCATTGCTCACATGGGCTCTTGACTTTAAACACTGCCTTTGACACTATTTTCTGGAATGTTCTTTTCATTCTCTAGACTGAGAGAGTGTAGTATTGCATCACAGACACAAGACAAGTACTGTTGTTAGTTTTAACTCTTGACTCTTTGGGGGCCCCGCCACCCAGCTCCCAAATAAATACACAGAGCCTTATTCTTACCTATGAACACCTGGCCTTAGTTTGGCTTGTTTCTAGTCAGCTTTTCTTAATTTAATTATCCCATCTACCTTTCACTTCCAGGCTTTTATCTTTCTCTATTCTCTATACCCTTTTTTCACTTCTTACTCCATGGCTTGCTGTGTAGCTGGGTGACTGGCCCCTGACATCCTCCTCTCCTTCTCCTCCTCTACCTCCCTGATTTTCTCTTCCTAGATTTCTCCTCCTTTTTACTATCTCTGCCTGTCAGCCCCACCTATCCTTTCTCCCGCCTTGCTGTTGGCCATTTAACTCTTTATTAGACCAATAAGGCATTTTAGACAGGCAAAGTAACACAACTTCACAGTTAAATGCAACATTAAAGAATACAACACATCTTTGTATCACTAAAATAAATATTCCACAGCACAAATAAATGTAACACATCTTGAAACAATACTCCACAATAAAGCACACATTTACGTCTTACATTTCCTACTTGGGATTTCATACCTAGAAGTTATTTAATGACATAAATAACATAGCTCCATCCAGCTTCTTTCTTACTCTCTTTTCCTTCTCTACTCCAAAGAGACAACATTTCTATGTTAAAAATAACAAAACATGAGCTGTTTCTACAGAACTGTTCCAGCGAAGCATTGGCAATGCTGCTGACTTGGGGTGTGTTGTGTTGTGGGTAGTGGTTGCTTGCTGAGAGAAACAGTGAGCTCTGGCTGTGTGTGTGTGTCTGTATGAGTTTGTGTCCATGTGTGCCTGTGTGTGTGTGTGTATGTGTGTGTGTGTGTGTCTGTGTGTGTGTGTGTGCTTGTGCATGTGTACCTGCATATATCTGTGTGTTTTTGTGTGTCTGTGTGTGTTTATGTGTTTGTGCATGTGTACCTGCATGTGTGTATGTTTGTGCATGTGTACCTGCATGTGTCTGTGTGTGTGTGTGTGTGTGTGTGTGTGTGTGTGTGTGTGTGTGTGTGTGTTTTTTTCCTAGTGCTGCCATAATGAATCATAAGTGTTGCACAGGTTAAAAAAAGAAAATCTATTACTTTATTGAAACAGAGGTCAGATACCACCAAATGGGTCTTAGAAGCTAAAACCAAGAAGTCTCAAGTGCCTTGCTCTCTCTGAAGGCTTTCTTTTCTTTTCTTTTCTTTTTTTTTTTTTTTTTTTTGGGGGGGGGGGGGTTTTTTTTTTTGGAGGGGGAGGGGATACTCAGTTCCATTGACCATTCCAGCTTCTAGAGCAGTGGTTCTCAATCAGTGGTTCATGACCATTTTGGGGGCTGAACAACCCTTCCACGGGGATCACACATCAGATATCCTGCATATCAGACATTTACATTATGATTCAAAACAGTATCAAAATTACAGTTATGAAGTAGCAACCAAAATAATTTTATGGTTGGGGTCAGCACAACATGAGGAACTGTATTAAAGGGTTGCAGCATCAGGAAAGTTGAGAACCACTGTTCTAAAGATACCTGCATTCTTTGGCTTATGGTCCCTTCTTCCACCTTCAGAGATTATCACACCAGCATCGTATCCCGCCATATTCTTCCTGCTTCTGGCACTCTTGTTGATCTTGGCAATGGCACTGAGACTACTTGAGAGTACAGTGTCATCTCCCAGTCTCACCATCTTTATCACATGTACAAAGTCATTTTCAGGGGTAAAGGGACACGTTTATGTCTGTTGGGACCAAATGAACCCTCAGTATTAAGGTGCATGGTAAGTAAGCAGAGTATCCCCCCATACTGCAGGGAAGAGATGGGCTCCCCCCACCATCCCAGGGAAATTCTGAAGAATTCTGGAATGACTTTCCTTGGGCTTCTTAGGATAGAAATGTGGATTCTTGTAAAGACTGGCAGACTTCCTCTTGAATTTAATAACTCTAAATTGATACATTCTAAAATTGCCTTTGCACAGTGGAAACCTTTGCATAGTCAAATAATGAGATTTTTCTAAAGTATGAATGTTGATTTCTATTCCTCATAGCCTGTTGAGGATGGAACCCAGGGATCTAGTCAGGGCAGGCAGTGCTCTACCCATGACCCACATTGACAGGACAGCCCTGGGATTTGGGGATAGGGTCTTGCTCTGTAATACAGGCTGGCTTTGAAATCAGGAGTCTCCTACCCTAACCTCTGAGTACTGAGATTACAGGCGTGGACTGTAAGGCCCATTTCTATACCCTTAACACGTAAATTTCGGTTTCTGATTGTAGCTGAGGAACTGTGGTGGTCTGGAGCCCCTGGTTGAGCTCCTGCACTCTAAAAATGATGAAGTACGAAGGCACGCGAGCTGGGCTGTGATGGTCTGTGCCAGTGATGAGGTGACGGCCGTTGAGCTATGCAAGCTCGGGTGAGTGGATGTCCCTTTCCTCCAGCCCAGATGCAGAACACGAAAGAAAGAAGCAGGCCATCAGGCCCGAGAAACATCAAGGAGAGGCTGCACTGTCATTTAGCCTAGCACTCAGGAGGAATCACCTGGGGGCAAGATATCTTTGCTTTCCTGTCCCCCTGATAGTGCCCTCCTCTAGAGTTGCACATTCGTTTTCTATGTTTCCTTTTCTACTGCATCCTCACAAATGGTTCTCTGTCACCTTTGCCAAACACAATCCTGTTTATCTCTCAGACTCAAGACTGAAATAAACTGGGTGGGCCACTACTATCATCTCTATCTAACCCTCCCACACACACACACAACACCAAACTCTTTCTCCTGACATCTGTATTTAATTAGCATCCTCCTCCCAGTTCGCTCTTTCCACAAGCTGCAGATAAGTCTTTAGCATAGCAGCAAAAGAGGTTGGAAGGGTTCCGCAGATTCTCAAGCATTTGTTCTTAATACATAACTTTGGTAATAAAATCTAGGCTCTCATACTCTTTTTTGCATTACATGAACAATGAAAGGAAAAGCCAGGGCCAGACAGGCTCACCCATGAATTCTACTGACTCTTTAGAGAACAGCTAATACCAATGCTCCTCAAACTGTTCTGTGAAACAGAAAGAACACTACCAAATTCACTCTATGAAGCCAGAATCACCCCAACTCAAAACTGGATAAGGATGTAACCATAAATGAAAACAGTAGACCAATCTCCCTGATAAACAGACACAAAAGTTCTTCTGACCCGATTTCAACAGCACAAGAAGATTAGACACGGGGTGGGGTTGCAGTGTAATGGAGTGTGGTAGTTTGAATGAAAATGGCCCCATAGGCTCACAGGGAGTGGCACTACTAGGAGGTGTGGCCTTGCTGGGATAGGCTTTGTTGGAGAAAGTGTGTCACTGGAATGAGCTTTGAGGTCTCAGGTGCTCAAGTCAGGCCCAGTGTGGCATTCATTTCCTGCTGCCTGCAAGTACAGATGTAGAACTCTCAGCTACCTGGCCAGCACCATGCTTCCCACCATGATGATAATGAACTAAACCTCTGAACTCTGAGCCAGCGCCATTTAAATATTTTCCTTTGTAAGAGTTGTTGTTGTCATGATGTTTCTTCATGACAATAGAATAATAGACACAGAGTAAATAAGTGGACCAAAACCAGAAGTCGCATGACCATTTCAGTCATTGGAGAAAAGGCATCTGGCAAAGCTTAACATCCCTTCATGGTTAAAGTTCTGAAGAAATTAGGGGGGAGGGAGGACCATACCTTGTACCAGGCTTTTTCTTTTTGACAACCAGTTATCCAATCATGACATGGAGACTTCTTATTAGTTTTGAATGCTTAGCCTAATTTAGGCACATTTCTAGCTAGCCCTTTTAACTTAAATTAACCTGTTTCTCTTTATCTACCTTTTGCCTTGGAGTTCCTTGCCTTTCTTACCTCTGAATATCTTATTTTCACTGCTTCTCTATGTATGGCTGACTGGTGTCTGCCTGGCTTTTTGGCCTGGGTGTCTCCCTTGTTCTCTCCTCCTCCTCCTTCCTTGTGTTCCTCCTTTCTTCTTTTTTGAACCTAGATTTCTCCTCCTATTTATTCTCTCTGCCTGACAGCCCTGCCTATCCCTTCTCTGCCTCACTATTAGCCATTCAGCACTTTATTAGACCAATCGGGTGCCTTAGGCAGACAAGTTGAAAGAGATGCAACATATCTTTACATATTTAAGCACCCATGCTTACACAAATGCAGCACAAACAAATGTAACACACATTTACACCATTAAAATAATATTCTACAACAGTGCCTCAACAGAATTAAGGGAACATATAACAAACCTACAGCCAACATCTCTAAGTGGAGAAAAACTAAAATCAGTGTCTCTGTAATCAGGAATAAGACACAGGCAGCTACAGGGACTGCTGAGATTCCACAGTGCAGAGTCTTAACTAGTGCAACAAGAGAAAGGAAGGAACAAGGCACAAATAGGAAAAGTCAAATTCTCCCTGTTTGTGGACAGCTTAATCTTTTATTTAAAAGATGCTAAAACTTCACAGAAAAACTCTTAGAATTGACAAATACTTCCAGCAAGTAGCAGGATCTAAAATCAACCTCCAGAAATTAGTAGCTTTTCTATGTGCCAACATTAAACTTGCTAAGAAAGAAATAGGAGTGAAACAAATCCTATTTGCAATCATAAAAAAATTCACATAGCCAGTGAAGTAAAAGACCTCTAAAATGAAAATTTTGGACACTGAAGAATGAAGTTGAAGAAGACACTATAAGATGGGAAGACATTCTATGCTCTTGGTTTGGCATAAAAATATGAAAACATCTGTACTTCAAAAGCAATTTGCATATTGAGCACAACATCCATCAAAGCTCCAAGGACATTCTTCGCAGAACTAGAAAAAAAAAAAAAACCCGAAATTCATATGAAAACATAAAAAACTCATAAGAGCCAAAGCAGCACTAATCAAAAAGAGCAATTCTGGAGATACCACAATAGTTGATCTTAAATTATAATACAGAGCCATAGTAACAAAACCTGCATGGCACCCAAACAGACCAATGGAATGCAATAGAGGTTCCAAATATTAACATTCATAGCCATAGTCCCATGATTTTTTGACAAAGATGCCGAAAATACACATTGGAGAAAATATAGCATATTTGACAAATGACACAGGGGAAAATGGCTACCCACATGTAGAAGAATAAATAGATTCACATTTCTTATGCTGCAGAAAAAACGATTCAGAGGTTGAAGACCTTAATGTAAGACCTGAAGCCCTGAGACTGATAGAAGAAAACAAAACTGAAATACTTCTAAGTATAGGCCCAGGCAAGGACTTTCTGAAAGGGACTCCAAGGTCTCAGGAATTCACAAATGAGATAGAAATTCTCATTTATGCACAGCAGAATGTGCTTACAGGCACGGGCAGACAGCCTTTAGGGGAAAACATCATCTTCAATAACTACTTAACAGATTATAAGGATTAATAACTAGAACATATAAAAACTGTAAAGATTATACATCAGAAGAATCATCCAGTCAATAAATAGGCTAATGAACTGAATAGATAATCCTCAAAAAAAAAAAGAAATACAAATGACTAACACATATCCGAAAAACTGCTCAGCATCCTTAGCCATCAGAGAAATGTAAATTTTAATACTGTTTTAGCCAGTCAGAGAAGTTGATACTAAGGAAACAAATGACAATAAATGATGATGAGGCTGTAAGGATTGATGAACCCTTATACATAGCTAGAAGGAATGCAAACTGCATCCAAAGGACTGAAGGTAAACATACCACAGAGACCATCCAAATGCTCATCCAAAATGGTTGAGAAACAGAACCTGCCTAGATGTCCATTAACAAACTAATAAAGAAAATGTGGAATTTTATCCAACCAATAAGAAAGCTTCAGTTGTGACATCTGAAGAAAGGTGGCTAGAACTGGAGATCACTGAGTGAAATTCAATCTAGTCTCAGAAAGACATGCACAATTTTCTCCTATGTAGAACCTAGATTTAAATTATATGGATATGTGTACCTACATGTGTGTGTTTAAAGAGGCCCTGAGAAGGGGAGGAAGAAACCTCAAAGGAGTGATGGAGGGGGATAGAGAGGATACTAGAACACATGTGACATGTGACATATGTTCTATTACAGAAAGTAGGGACTCTCTAAAGGTGGAAGGGAGCCAGCAATAGAGGGGCAAGGAGGACGAGGAAGGCCAGTGAGTGTGCAAATTAGAATGAAGTACAGTGGCACATATGTATGGAAATAATAGAACTCATTAGTTTATATGACAAGCTAAAAAAAATCTAAGAAATGACAAAAAAAACAAACAAACAATTTTTTCCTTAAAAATACCCATTCTTCTGTTTTCTGTGGATGTGACAATGCCTGAGGAAAAAACTTAGGAAGAGGAAGGATTTATTTTGGCTCATGGTTTCAGAGGTTTTAGTCTGTGGTTGCTTAGTCTCATTGTGTCTGGACCTGTGGTGAGGCAGCAAATCACAGTGAAAGCATAGAGCCAATAGGGCAGCTTACCTATGGCACTAGGAAATAAAGAGGGGAGGAGATAGTTCCTAATAACCCTTTTAAGGACACATACCAATGACTTATCTCCCTCCTACTAGCCCCCGCCTCAATGTTTCCATCACATCCCAACTGTGTCACGGGCATTCAACCAAGCTTTTCATGTAGACATTTATCCAGGCTATGTCCCAACAACTGTTTGAGTTATTGCATGGCATTTGTATTCTCAGAAAGCACTGATTTGTCTTCATAATTCTGTCATTTTTACTTCGTTTAAAAAGTCAGGGAGGCACTAACCTTTCCGTCTCAATTCTTCACTCAGGAGTTTAAAGATTATAAATGGGAACTTAATGTCGGCTGGCTTGTAGAAAACAAACATGAGGTATTTTTGTTGTTTACTTTTTTTAAAATTTTGTTGACAGGGCTCTAGATATCCTTGGAGAAATTAATCTATCCGTAAGTCGGAAAAATAAATTCAGTGAGGCAGCCTATAACAAATTGCTTAACAACAATCTTTCCCTGAAATATAGCCAGACTGGCTATTTGTCATCAAGCAACTTGATTAGTGATGGATTCTATGATTGCGGTCGGGTAAGTGATAGCACTTATTTTCATTTTTACTACGATTTTCCCTTTAATCATGATGCCCTTACATTGCTATTTTATAAGCTCCAAACATACTTTATAATTTTACAGATAGAAATGCGAAAATCAGCACTTTAGCCTGGACTGCTTCTGGCTATAAGATTTTGCCTTCTCATACAGTTTTAACCAGGTTCTGTTTTACTAGTAATTTGAGTCAGCTTATTAATTCAAGTCCGGTAACACCCAGGACACATACAGAACACCGAGAAATTGCTCCACAAACACTCATTTTATTCAACCATAAGTAGTTTTGAAAGAACTACTATAACAACAATACAAAGATGCTTCAGGAGAGCAGAGGACAAGAGTTGGAAATCCAACACAGAACACTGACACACAGGGAAATGCTGGCAGAGAGGAGTGCATGAGTCTTTGAAACATTCAATAAAACTGTCCTATATGAAAGAGACTTCTGAAAGTACTGTGTTCTTGATATTGCGGGCTTTCACTATGCCAACAGAACAAAATAGATAAAAGACCTCTGCTCCCATGGGACCCATAGGAGGACACAGAAAACAGCAAATGGGCTAGAGTTGGGTGGGAGGTAAGGGAGAGTAAAGCAGAGTCAGGATGAGGGCATCTACAAACTATGAGGTAATAAAGCAGATAGTTGTCATTTCAAAATGGTGGTGAGGCAGTCCTCATTGAGTGTGATATCTGAATAAAAACTTGGAGACAGTAGGAAAGTTAGCTTGGCAGCTATCTAGGGAAAGAACTTTCTGGGTAGAGGAATAGGGGCAAATGTGCCTGGAATGTCTAAGGAATATCATGATGGGAGACAGTGAAGGAACAGAGCTGATAAAGTGGGAGAATAGAGATTACTTCAGATGGATAAAGGAACCCAGATCACACGATTCTCAAAGACCTCTACAAGAGCAGGACCTCAATCAGAAATGGGAAATAGGGCAGGATCCCCCCTGTAGAACAATAGGATCTGTTTTAGTTTTAGAGGATTGCTTTGCATTGTTTTGAAGATTATGAGAACTATCTTAGATGGGAATGAAAACTATTGCTTGATCAAGAAGATCCAGAAGTTTATCTAGTCTGACCTCTTTTCTCAGGATGACAAAATTATCCTGGAATCACTTCTATGCCCTCCCACTCTCAAGCAACCCCCTTTTCTTTGATTATTATTATGATATAGTGTGTGTGGCTGGCTGGCTGGCTGGATGGATGGATGGATGGATGGATGGATGGATGGACAGAGAGAACCTGCTGAGTCCATTTTTATTGCTTGCGTGTACATGGCTTCAGTGCTGACCACTCCGCATTGGATAAACACTTAGGGGTCTCATTCTTAGGAGAGGTTAGTTCCCCTTCTCCCAGCAGTCATTAATTGCCTGTGGTTCTTTGTCTAGAGGTAGGACTCCATGAAATATTCTCCCCACTGTGTTAATGTGTCCATGAGTGTTTTGCCTGCATGTATGTATGTATACCACGTGTGTTGTGCACCTGGTGCCTGAGGAGGCCAACAGAGAGCATCAGATCTCCCAAGACTGGAGTTGTGGACACTTGTAAACTGCCACGAAGGTTCTGGGAACTGTACCTGGATCCTCTTCAAGAGAAAAGAGCTCCAGCTCCAGTTTCTCTTTAGATAAACCCACAATTTTTGAGGAATCAGTTTCAGTTCATTGTTACTTTTACTGGTAAAGTCCTCCCTGGAGTGTGCAGATAAATTTTGGACACAAATACTTTCAGGGACTATGATAACAGCTATAGTATGGAATAACTGAGGGCAAAACAGCAAAGAATGTGGGTGCAAACGAGAGTGTGTCTGCAAGCTTCTGGCTTCCAGCTCTGATTATGCATAGAGATTATCATCTATCTATCATCTATCTGCCAGCCTATCTATCTATCTATCTATCTATCTATCTATCTATCATCTATCTATCTATCATCTATCTATCTATCTTCTATCATCTGGTCTGTCTTTCGGTTATCTCTGTGTGTGCACATGAATAAATTAGACTCTTCAAATGTCAAGAACCCTTTCTATCAGCACTCATGTTTAAACCATAGCACGTGCAGAACCCACTTTGGTGTTCACACTATCTTACAGATAAATCCTGGCACCAAACTTTTGCCGCTGAAGGAACTCAGCTTACAGGAGGTGAACGATCAACGTGCTATTCTATTAGTCAACTGTAAATCCGACATGTGAGTCTTTGAGGGCAGGGGTGTTTTAGGGAGAGAAGCACACAGTTTCTGTTTGTCAGTATACAAGTATGTGAAAGTTCCCAGTATGGTATCTTCCCAGCTGTATCTAACACTGTGAAAACAAGGGCTGGTCCGTGAACTCAGCCTGACATGGAATAACTTGTATTTTCCACTGATTCCATGTTAGCAATTTCCAGTGGATTTGGGAAAACAACCACAAGAATATAAGATGTAGAAAATATTGATAAGTCTCCAGAAATATGTAATTACCACCCATTGTTTTTCTTTAAAATAAATAAATGGTAGAGCTAAAAACTAAAGCATCATAAAAAAAAAAAAATACAGGGTCTCCCTATGTAGTCCAAGCTGGCCTTGAAGTCACAGAGATCTACCTGCCTCTACCTCCAAAGTGCTGGGATTGAAGGTGTGTATCACCACACCTGGCTTACCAACTGTTGACTTTTAAAACTGGGTTGCTCATAGCACAAGTTGGCTTCAAAATCCTCTTGTAGCTGAGAATGGCCTTGAGCTTCTGCCTCCATCCCCAAGTGGTTTATAGGAGTGCACCACCAGGCTTGGTGTATGTGGTGAAGAAGATCAAACCCAAGACTGTGTGCATGCTGGACAAGCATTCTGCCAGCTGGGCTCCAGCCCCAGCCCCAGCCCCAGCCCCAGTCCCAGCTAACTAATAAAAAAAAAGACCCTGTATGCCTGTATATCTATATATTACCAACATGACATATATTTCATACAAGTATTTCCTGCTTTGGCTTGTGAAAAGTTTTGACTTTATATTTGCCTTAACCTCTCTTTTATGCTTTTAAAAATAGTATGGTGCCATTGAGAGTCTTCTGCAAATATGGCTTTCCCAAGAAATCTGTCTTATAGGACAAAGTTAGTGCTGACACATTTTAGTTTGTAGCTAACTTGAAATGTATGACATTTTAGTTCTCCACCGCCATCTATGGAGGATAAATCGTCAGATGTTGGCTACGGACGAAGCATTTCTTCTTCATCTTCCTTAAGAAGGGCAAGCAGAGAGAAAGCCACGTAAGGACATAACTTATTAACACTCAACTAACCTCCCTCACCAGAGGTGAAAGATTGAGGGTTTTTGTTTTGTTTTGTTTTAAATTAGATTTTTAGATTTTTGGCAACTCAGTTCTTTTGCTTCTTATGGTGATATAGCTGCATAATTGTTGTAAACTGCTGTGGTAAAGACCTTTGGGAGGGGAATTAGGTGTGGGGGACCTGTAATTGAGGTTGAGTTGCACTGAACTGTGGGTGGAATAGACCCTAACTGTTGCAATGGTGATCAAACCCAGTCGCAATGGAAGAGAAACGATATTCTAATAGTTAAATTACCTTGTTAATGTAACCTTTTGCCATAGTTAGCTCGACCGGAATACGATATATCCTTTTCAAATGACACAAAAGAAAAAAGTTTTCATTTTAGCGCTGGATTTGGATCACCCACAGAAGAAAAATCAGAGCCCACATCAGGACGGAACACTGCCCTTAGCAGAGGTGCTGCCAAAGAGAAAGGATCAAGGTAGGAAATTCGTTGTTTTCTTCTCCCAGTTTCAATCATGACAACTAGTAATTATGCAGCAAGGGTCAGAAAGGGAGCTGTAGGTCTTGTTTATTCTGTGTTGGGCATGGAACCCCTGCATCCCCAAGTTGGGCAAGGGCTCACACTGAGCCACAACCTAGCACCTAAAAGTTCCTGTTTAGTAGCCACTCCTCAGGTCTTCAGCAGCTTAGTGCCAGAGTTTGCCTGCAAGTGTCATAACCTGGTTTGGGCCCCAGCACCACAAAAGGAGTTTGACTTTTGAAACCTATGCATTGAATGAGGTAAAAACCCTGAGATGTAACTTGTGTCTCTTTTGTTCTGTGCTGTCTTTGAAAGAGGTGCCCAGAATTTCTCTTGTCTCTGGAGAAGTCAGGCTATCTTGGTAACCACCACCATCAAGTACTACAGTGGCTTCCATTTAAAAAGGACAGTGGAAGTAGCAGTTGTCCTCAGCTACTGATGCCCCCCACTCTGCAGCATCGAGGATGGGAGGGGGGTTATCTGCTACCAGTAGGCCACATACCTGTGTCCTTTCCTAATGACACTCTCTCCATCATTTCCTGGCTTCATCCCTTACCCTTCAGGACAGAAGCAGTTCAAAGACAGGGAGGAAGAGCTAGCCCTTTCAATTGGAACAATTGCAGCATACTTTGTGCTTCTGTAGTTTATGTATTCAAAACTCCTACTAGGGCCTGGGGATATGGCTCCATATGGGGATAGTATTTGACTAGTTTGCACAAATACCTGGGTTTAATCCCCAGTAGGAAGTAAATATGGCATGGTGGTTCACACCTGAAATCTCAGTGCTTAGGAAGTCCACAGTTAGGAAGCAGGTATGTGGTTGAATTGAGTGATACTAGTCAGCCCACACTGCCTGCTCTGACCTGCCTGGACCCTGGGACTTGGTCTTTGCATTCTTTCTGAGACACCCCACCCACCCCCATCCAAGCACGTTTGGACAGACACCTTGATCTGCCCCCACATAAGTATGGGTTCACTAAAGACTTGCCTGCCTTAAGAGTTGGGCATGGTGGTACACACCTTTAACCCCAGCACTTGGGAGGCAGAGGCCGATCATTGTGAGTTTGAGGCCAGCCTGGTCTACAGTGTGAGTTCCAGGACAGCCAGGGCTGTTACTCAGAGAAACTCTGTCTCGAAAAAAATCAAAAAACAAAAGAAAAGAAAGAAAAAAGAGTGTCATTTATTGAATTTGTCCTTGGCATTTGTTAAGGGGGGAAAATTACTAAAGCTGAAAAGTAAAAAGAGTGACTGTTGGAGTCTGGGTCATCTTTGAAGTGGGAAGGTTGAGTCTTAGGTGAGACTCTTGCACACTTATGTTTCTGTGAATTCCTTGCAAAGGGGCTGTGGTGACCATCTAGGGAGATCTTCCCCTTCCTCTTAGGGGATGCACTAGTTGGTTATCTGTCAGCTTGAATCACCTGGGAAGAAGGGACCTCAGCTGAGAAAATGCCCCAAGCAGGTTCGCCTGTAAGCAAGTCTGTGGGTATTATTATTATTATTATTATTATTATTATTATTATTATTATTAGTGGTGGTTGATGCTGAAGGACCCAGCCTACTGTGGGTAGTGCCATTCCTGGGTAGGTAGTCCTGGGGTGTATAATAAAGCAGGCTGAGCAAGCCATGAGGAGCAAGCCAGTCAGCAGCATTCCTCCACGGCCTCTGCTTCAGTTCCTGCCTCCAGTTCCTGCCCTGACTTTTTCCCTCCATGGTGAAGTATGACCTGAGAGATGTAAGCTGAAATAAACCCTCTCCTCCCCAACCAAAAGTTGCTTTTGGTCCTGATGTTTCTTACAGAAATGAAAACCACTAAGTAGGACGGAGGGTCACTTGCTCTCCGTCAGTTCCTCTCAGCTGGTGCTATCCATCGTAAAAGGCTGGCAAAGTAATACCCTGGGGTACAAATGACAGAAAAGACATTGCATACTAGCTGGAGATATCGATAAAGCAATGGTAGCATATGGGGTGGGGCTGCAGGATTAGGACAAGCTGTTGGGAGGAAAGATGCCGAGATGGAAACAGATTCAAGAGTTACACCTTCAGTGCCTAGTGTAACCACTTGGAATGTATGAAGAGCAACCCTTTCAATCTAGCATGCTAGGAATAACTGGTGTAAAAGTGAGTCATAACCCTCACATGGATGTAAGTAGAGTACTATACCCCAAACAACTACAGCTTTTAATTAACATGACACACAATTGCCTCTTGTTTAAGACCTTAATGGAATTTTAGAGAGGGAATTTGTATAACCGTCACCACAGACTAGATAACAGTTCAAACATCCCAGAAACCTAACCCTGACATTCTCCATCTAGTCCCTGAGTCTTTGAAGTTGACAGGACTCAGTGGTGGTGTTTTCCTGTGGTTTTTCTCTTTCTAATCTCTCACCATATAGACCGGGTATATGTAGACCAGACGGGCCTTGAACCCACAGCAATCTGCCTATCTCTGCCTCTTGCGTTCTGCCAATAAGGTGTGCACCACCAGGTCCAGGCAAGGATGACTTTTATGGGATCACTGGTATGTTACATCTGATACTGATGTTTTCCACCCAGCATGTCTTTGAAATGGTTCCAAATTATGTTGTGTGTTAGTAGTTTATTCCTTTTTATTCTTGACCAGTATTTCATTGTAAGGACTTACTACTATATACTCATCTTTTATCAAAGGACATTTGAATTGTCTCTAGTTTTTTTTTTTAATTTTTAATTAACTTTTAATATAGCATACAAAACAATAAGCTTTGTCATGGCATTTTCATACATATGTGTCACTGCATTTTGTTCTAATTCATTTCCCTCCCCACTGGCCTCTCCATAATCCTTTATGCTCTTGGGGTTAATTCAGAGCACAGTTAGTGTTTGGTTATTTGATTGACTAGCTATGGGATTTTATTATTGTTTACTCTCAAAGGAAAGGGAGGGGGAAAAAAGAAGAAGAGAAAGTAAAAGAGGAAGAAGAAATCCTGGCAGTGCCCAAACTGACAGAAGGCAGCTCCGAAAAAGAATGGTACCCTCCTCCTGACCCCGAGTTATGTGTGTATGTGTACGAGGTGACCAAGTCCATACTGCCCATCGTCAACATTAAGGATCAGATTGAGGCGCTTGCCAAGTGAGTCTCCCCCCCCCCCTTCTCTCTTCTCTCTCCATGTATACTTATTTCTGAGTTTTGAAAAGCTTCAGTGGTTTCCTTTTTTTTTTTTAAGTTAGAATAAAACCAACAAAATAAACCGCCTGAGCTCCAACTTTGAAGCAGAAATGAATGAAGTAAAGGTGCTCTTCATTTCTATTAGGGCTGCATTTCTGTGAAGAATCAGAGCTCAAGTTGCTTAGAGACAAATGCCTGTTGTTTTGTTTTGTTTTGTTTTGTTTTGTTTGTTTTGTTTTTCCTAGCTTAGCTGTTAAATAGCGTTTTTGGTATGCTCGTAGAGAGGTTGTGAGTGAATTTGTGTTTAAAAATTAAATCAAGGCATCCTGTTGGGTATTCTCTATAAACTCACTCATTGTTTTTTTGTTTTTTGTTTTTTGTTTTTTGTTTTTTTTTTTCTTTAAACACAAGTAAGCGCCTGTTTTTCTGATGGCTGTCTGCTAGTTTGTTTGCTATTTCTCTCGTGTGGGCTGTGGGCATTCTGAGAGCTTGCTGCAGGGCAGACCAAGTTGCCCTCCTCATTTGTGCTGTGTTTTGGGCTCATTCCATAAAAGAGGCTGAGGCCTGTAGCAGGACTGAGGGAGCAGGAAAGACTAGAAATGGGGGATGGGCTCCATGATTGACACAACCAGCGGGGGGGATGGGGGGGGGGGCTTCTGGCTCCAGCAACAGCTGCAGTCTCTGTGGGAGCTCTGTCCACTCCAGGTGGGAGTCAAGTAGCAGTCCTCAAACCTGGAAGTGACAACTGCAAACCGCACAGCTGCCAGATCACTGACTTCTGTCAGCCAAGACTCAGGGAGAATGAGGGCATTTGGCTATGGAAGGATTTCTGTGTCCTTGAGACGTGGTGACTCGGGCGGAACTCTGACTCGAGTCCGGTGAACATTTGTCCAGTACTTCCCAGCACCATATTCCTAGCAGAGGCTCTCCTCCACACTTCCGAATCACCAGGTTTTCAAACGTTAGTATGATAACAAGCAGGACGGGGCAGACTTCTGTTCCACCACGTGATAGGCTGTCAGGAGGTGGATTGACAGCTCTGCTCCACCTCACTGCCCCATTGCTTACTTAAGTTTTGTTTAGCTTTGGGGTTTTCCTTTGTTTTGGTTTAGTTGCTCTGGTTTGTTTTGTTTTGTCTTGCTGTGTTTTGAGGTTTTTAGACATTATTTCTCCTAGTAGAGCCAAAGGCCAATCTTTCCTTTAAATTTTCAATTTTTCCCCTGAATGTGCCCTTAGTTACAGAGAATTTTTAGACATGTATTTGTTAACATTATCCCATGAGATCCTACTATGTGGTAAAAACCCTCTGAAACAAAGTATCCCAGTTTCAACATCTCCCACACATCTGACACACGTCCAATATATCTTTTCTTCCTCCTCTTCTTACTCTCTCCTTTGATAGCAGGATTACATAATACCTCATCTTTCTTCATTAAAAAGATACATCTTAAATGACAAAATTTTAAATTAAAAAATACGAAATTTACTGCTTATAAGCCCAGTCTTTAGTAGGCAGAGGCAGGAGGAGCCTCAGCAGGGCAAGGCCAGCCTGAGCCACATGCTGAGACCTTGTCTCAAAAGAGGCGGTGCCCCCCACCCCCACTCCCTACTTGAAAATGTCTATGAGTCCAGTGGGAAATTTGACTGAGTTCCTCTTGCTTTTGAGTTTAAATGGCTTGAAAGAAGAAAGCCCACCAGTTAGTAAATGCCTTCACTTTCAGACCAGAACACTTCACACTGTTCTTTTTGTTTGTTTGTTTTTCCAGACAGGGTTTCTCTGTGTAGCTATGGAGCCTATCCTGGCACTCGCTCTGTAGAGCAGGCTGGCCTCGAACTCACAGAGATCTGCCTGCCTCTGCCTTCTGAGTGCTGGGATTAAAGGAGTGTGCCACTAACCAATGCCTGGCTTTCACACTGTTCTTAAAGTTACATTTATATTTAGTGTGATAATCATTTGGCTTGTGTTATACCCATTGGGATCTTAGCATCATTCTCTTCTTTGCACTGAAGTAAATCGGCATGATTTCAGTTTATATATGAATTTGTGATGGTCTCAGTACAGTAATCATGGTGGTTTTTCCTTCCTTTACATTCTTTAAAGTAAAGCAAATAACCAGAGGAAATGTAGTTTTTAATGTGTAATTGTATATATAATCATACACAAAACATCCAAAGTAAGTGATTAAAACTGACAGTTTTTCATCTCAATGTAATGGGCACAGGTTTGTGGCAGATAAAATGGGCGGTAAAATTCCAAAAGAGAAGATGTCTGATTTCAGCTGGGAACTTCACATAAGTGAGCTGAAATTTCAACTGAAATCCAATGTTATACCCATTGGACATATCAAGAAAGGAATCTTTTATCATCGAGCTTTGCTTTTCAAGGTATTTAAAGTATTTTTGTCTCGTTTCCATTAGGTTAAAAAGTTTTGTCCTTATGTCATCAGACCGAGTCAGTTGCTAGCATTTAACTGGATAATGTTAATCTTTGCATTTATACCTATTTAGCTTTAAATATTTGTGATTATCTATGTACATATGTATAATACATGGAGGATAAATAATATAAAATTTACATTAGGTTGAAAAACAACAACTTTCTAAATTATGTAACTATCTACACATTAAATACTGGCAAGCAAATCGGTGGTCCTTTTAGGGAATGCAGAGGATATCATCTAGATAGAGGGAGAGGAAGGGGGTGTATAAAGTTGAAGGCCTGATATGAAGCATCAGATAAGTTGGCCCTTTATCCAGAAATTTTAGTAACCACTACAAATTGTCAAGCACGGGGGTAAGAAGAATGTGATTTTGAAAGACCATTAAGGCTGTAAATGGAGGGAGTAATGAATTAGAACAGACACAAACTAGAGACAGGATGACCTATTAAAAGATGTCTGGACAACAAGTATAAGTGATTCATACTATGGACACATTACTCAGTGTGGAAGGAGAATAAAGCTGAGGAGACTTTGGATGTAACAACAAGAAGGACTTGGTAGTTGACTGAACATGGTGGGGAAGAATGCCTGGTGAGCAGAATGACTCCAGGTCCTGGGAAGGTGAGGCTTAAGAGAGTATGGTCTTTGATCCACTGTGTAGGAACTGAGAAAACACTTCCTGAACCTCTAGACTGAATGATTAAATTCTGTCCATCTCCGAAGCACATATATACTTCTGTCTTAGTTACTTTTCTCCTTTCTATGGACAACTACTGGACAAGAAGCAATTTAAGGGAAGAAGGGCTTGAGAGGGTTCATCAGGGCATGGGAGGTATGGCAGCAGCAGCTGGTACCCTGGCACCCACAGTCAGGGAGCAGAGAAAAATGCTGATGTGAAGCTCTCTTTGTTCTTCTCTCCCTGTTATGGTGTCTGGGATCCCCAGCTCATGGGATGATGCTGCCCACATTCAGAGTGGGTCTTCTCTTGTCCTTCTTCAGTTAAACCACTTTGGAAATTTCCTTACAAAATACCCTGAGGCATATCCACTAGAGGATTCTAAAGCCAATCTAGCTGACAATGAACTACTACCAATCTACCATTTATCAATTTGACAACTAAATGCATCATTTTAAGTGAAAATAATCCATGTCTCATTCTGAAAGCCTCATGGGCATCTCATGATGCAAACTGTACTTAGTTATCTATAAAAGTCTCCCAAATCTTAACAGTCCTATCATTGTTCAAAAGCCCAAAGTCCAAAGTCTATTCTAAGAGTTAAAACAATTTCTTAACTGCGATGTCTGTAAAAACATTTTTTCAAGTTACATAATTCTACCATATAATGTCATAGAATAATCATTGCTATCCCAAGAGGGAGGAACAGGAACATAGGAAGAGAAGATTTGGTCAAAGTAAGACCAAATCTCAGCAGGGAGCTGAGTGTTGTGGCTCTCAGCACTTGGGAGGCCCAGGCAGGCAAATATCTGAATTCAAGGCAAGTTGGGTCTACAGAGTGACAGGTAGGACTATGCAGAGAAACCTTGTCTTGAAAAACAAAAGCAAAAACCTCAACAGGGAAAACCACAATCCTACATCACCATGTTCAGCATCCAGGGCTTGTAATAGAACCAACTAGGCTTCTGAAGCCCTGCTCCTCCATCTCTGTCAACTATAGCACATGACTGACCCACTCCCTTGGACAAGCTGTGTTCTATATCTGCACCTTTCTTTGGCCAATGACCCATGGTCTTAACATTTCCAAAATCCTAGGGTCTCCACTTGTGTTGGCTTGAATGAAAATGTCCCCCATAGGACCATAGAAAGTGGCACTATTAGGAGGTGTCATCTAGTTGGAATAGATATGGCTTTGTTAGAGAAAGTGTGTCACAGGGGGTGGACTTTGAGGACTCAGATGCTCAAGCCATGCCCGAGGTCTCTCTCTCTTTCTGTTGCTTAAGAATCTGGGTGTAGAACTCTCAGCTACCTCTCCTGCACCATGTCTGCCTGCATGCCGCCGCCATACTTTCTGACATGATAATGGACTAAACCTCTGAACTATAAGCCAGTCACAGTTAATTGTTTCCTTATAAGAGTTTCCATGGTCGTGGTATCTCTTCACAGTAATAAAACCCTAACTAAGACACCACTGTAGCTCAGGGTTCATCTTTACAGCTTCCCACATGGCATGATTCAACGAGTCTTCCTTCTTCAGTTAAACCTGTCTGGAAATGTCCTCAGAGATATGCCAAGGGTGTGTCACAAGTAAACAAATACTGTTGTCCATTGTCTTAGCTAGGGTTACTATTACTATTATGAAACACTACAACCAAAAGATAACTGGGGAGGAAAGGGTTTATTTGGCTTGTTGTAGTTCATCACTGAAGCAACTCACGACAGGAACTCAAACAGGGCAAGAACCTGTAATCAGGAAATGATGAAGAGACCATGGAAGGGTTCTACTTATTGGCTTGCTCCTCATGGTTTGCTCAGCCTGTTTCCTTATAGAACTTAGGACCTGGGGTAGCGACATCGAGAATCACTAATTAGGAAGATGCCCTATTGGCTTCCCTATTGCCCAATCTTATGGAGGCATTTTCTCAATTGAAGCTCCCTCCTCTCTGATGACTCCAGCTTGTGTCAAGTTGAAATATAACTAGCTAGCACAGCCACCAAAATCTCATCACATCCATTCATATCTCACTCCTATTTCACAGCAATCCTCTCCATCATCTAAATGCCTTTCTTATATCCTTGGAATTCTTGCTCTGTGAGCTCTTTTTTCTTTCCTGTCTTAGAGCCCTTCCTGTTTATTAACTGTTCCTCCATTTAGAATCTAGACATGCTGAAGTCAGCATTATATACAGAGAAAATCTAAATTTGTTCTCACAATGTCTACAACCATAGTTATGATTTCCCACCCTCAGGACACTTATCATTTTGTGTTATTTGCCAGATACTTGCTCATATAATTTAAAAGATTAAAACAAAGCTTAATACTTGGGAAAAAAAGAGTTTACCCAAGATCAACCAGAAGTGGAACTGGATCTAAACATGTTTTAATATGGACTTTTATAAACCTCCCACATTGATTCTACCCAAATGTAATCTCACTTCTGATTAAAATTCTGAGTCATATTGATCGTGACATTTTTTTTAGCACATACCTTATTTTCCCTAACTCCCTGTCCACTAGTCTCTCAGTAAGGACTACAGTGACCACCTCATTGTCTTGCTTAAAACAACAAAGAATTTTATTTGTTACTGACCAACCATTTTTCTGGAAACCACTCTCTGGTTACCTTTGTCCTCTCTTGCTACTAAAAATTGGATCTTCCAGTGGTCATCTGTCCTAGTTAGATGAAACACCATGACAAAAAGCAAGTTGGGGAAGAAAGGATTTATTTGGTTTACACTTCCACATCATAGTCCACTGAAGGAAGCCAGGACAAGAACTCAAGCAGGGGGCTGGAGAGATGGCTCCAGAGGTCCTGAGTTCAATTCCCAGAAACCACATGGTGGCTCTCAACCATCCATAATGAGATTTGATGCCCTCTTCTGGTGTGCAGGCAGACATGCAGACAGAACACTGTATACAGAATAAATAAATAAATCTTAAAAAGAAAATGAAACAAACAAAAATTGATGTATATAATCTCATTAAAGGAAATAAAGAACTCAAACAGGGCAGGGATCTGGAGGCAGGAGCTGATGCAGAGGCCATGGAGAAGTGTTGTTTACTGGCTTGTTCAACATGGCTTGCTCAACCTGCTTTCTTATAGAACCCAGGACCACCAACCCAGGGTTGGCTCCACCTACAATGAGCTGGGTCCTCCCCCTGTCAATCACTAATTAAGAAAATGCTCTCCAGGCTTGCCTACAGCCTGGTCTTATGGATGCATTTTCTCAATTGAAGCTCCCTCTTCTCAGATGATTTTAGAATAAAACTGCCAACACATTGTCCAAGTCTCTTCTGTTTTTGCTTCATGAACTTCCCAGGGTAGGATCTTCACTTGCCTTTACATAGTGCCTAAATGCCTAAGATTCACAATATTATAAATTCCTTCTTCCTGTTTGCAGTCAGCTGCTTTGCTTCCTCACAAGGCAAGAGATTTTATTTCTTCCTGTTTGTTTGTTTGTTTGCTTGTTTGTTTGAGACAGGGTCTCTATACATAGCTCTGTCTGTCCTGGAACTCACTCTGTAGACTAAGATGGCCTTAAACTCAGGAGATCTGCCTGCCTCTGCCTCCCAAGAGCTGGGATTAAAGGTGTGTGCCATCACACACACCTATCAGTTCCTGTTTTTATAAGGGCAGTAATTTCGGTGGAGGGAGGCCTGACCCTATGAGTGTCTCTAAACCTAGTCACCTCCCCAAAGATTCACCTCCAAATACATTAGAACTTAGGGCTTCAGCATACAGCTTTGGGAGGGCACACAAATATTCAGTCCATAACGCCTCATGCTGACCTGAATTCATTGCATGACCCAGGTAACATTTGAGGGCAATGAATTCAGGTTCATTACTCAGCATTCATAGGGTGCACTCACTCACTCACTAACTCACTAACTCACAAGGCTGTGTTCACTCACTCACTAACCCACAAGGCTGTGTTCACTCACTCACTAACTCACAAGGCTGTGTTCACTCACTCACTAATTCACAAGGCTGTGTTCACTCACTCTAGCTCACAAGTTCACTGCACACTGGAGGCAGATACTTGGTTCTTCCTTTAGGTCACTATTGGCAGTGACCTTGGGAAAGCACCTGACTGTAATAGCACTTTTTCATCCTGACTGACAGCCCACAAATAAGGACATGGAGATATTAATTATGAAAGTTTGGCCTTAGCTTAGGCTTGTCCCACTAGCTTTTTTTTTTTTTTTTTTTTTTTTTTTTTAAAAGGGTTTTTTTGTTTTTCTTTGGAGCCTTTCCTGACACTCGCTCTGGAGACCAGGCTGGCCTCAAACTCACAGAGATCCTCCTGCCTCTGCCTCCCCAGTGCTGGGATTAAAGGCGTGTGCCACCAATGCCCAGCGTCCCACTAGCTCTTATAACTTAAATTAACCTTCTTCTATTAACCTTTGTTTTGTCATGTGGCTTTTTACCTTTCAGTCTGTATGTCCAACTCCCTCTGAGTCTTACCAGCGTCTTGGCATAATCTTCGGGTCTAGATTCCTATTCCTCCCTCCCCCCCCCAATTCCTCTTATCTATTCTGCCTAGCTATTGGCCATCAGCTCTTTCTTTTTTAAACCAATTACTGTGATACATCTTCACATACTGTAAACAATATTCCAAAACACCTAACCTCAGCTTCACTCTAGAAAATGGGGGATAGTAATCTGTTAAAGTGATTTAAAGTGCTTTAACTGGAAATAAGAGACATACCAGCAAATATTTCCTTGGAAAACATCACACACACAATCTTTGCATCCCACTGGACTCCAAGGGTAATAGATTTTGATGTTGTTTGTTGTGCAGTCACTGCTTTCTAAGCCATCTCCAGCTACAGGACAAAGAGTATCAAGATCAAAACCTAAAAGTCCTGGAAATGACCACCAAGTCATCATCATTTTGGCTTATTCCAAACTATGCAGTTTGGTGTAGTCAGTACTTGTGACAAATACATTTAATTAAAATATGAATATATCCACTATAAAACACAATTCTGTACCCCTAGGGCTATTTAGCTTTTGTTGAGTACTTACTCTTGGGACTTGGCACCCATTAATTCATCACACAACCATAAAGATACCATGATTCTTCCCAACTCACAAAGGAATAAATGGAAACCTGGACTTGCAAACCCCTTGTCTTATAGTCACTAGTTGGTAAGACTCTGGGTTAAATTGAAATGCAAAGCAAGGCACTCTAACCAAGGTCTACTATTAATTATAGTATGGCTGAAAAAAAATTGTAAATTATTTTTAAGATACTTAAAAGAGAAACAAAACGGAAAAAACCCTGAAAGTCAGGGGCAATCAGGGGACTCCAGAGAGATACCGGCATTGAGGTAGCTGCAGAAAGCCAGAGAGACAGGTGCAATTGGGATCTCCTTCCCATGGTGCATTCCGCATCACACAGCAGACTGGCTGGAAATGGGACTTACTTCAATCTCACTGCCTATTACAGCCAAAGAGCAGCCTGGGCTGTGAACAGACTGATGGGTACATGGGCTGGAGCCCTGGGATAGCTCACCTCCAAGCTCCCTATCCATCTTGTACTCCACTGCATTAACTGCCTGAAAAGTGCCCTTTCCCAGAACACTCTGACACGCATTGAGTCTACAGATGGCAAGCCATCAGGGGCAGGCAATGCTTGGCTCCTACCACACCATTCTCCATTTTCCAGCTTCCAGTCCAACAGTTTCTTTGCATGCCTGTATTTAACTCTCTCCCAAGTAGGTCTCCCACTAAGGATCTCTTCCCACTTGCTTTATTATGGCCCTGAGCCTCAGATGTCTTGTTCCTCTCTCAGGTACTGGCTGATAAAATCGGTGTGGGCAGCTGCCTGGTGCGTGGTGAATACAGCCGAGCGTGGAACGAAGTGAAGCTGCTGAATGAGGCTCGGAAGGGCATCATCGGGCGCCTGCCCCCACCCGAAGAGTACATCGTGGACCTCATGTTCCACCCAGGGGCCCTGCTGAAGCTCCGCAGCAAAGAGGCCGACCTCTACCGCTTTCTTTAGGAGCACTCAAACCGGAAACTGTCCCCACATGCTTTCTTAGAAGGGCGCTAGCTGATTTGATAAGTTCAAATAAAGGTATTAGAAATGGTTTGTGTGTCGAAATAAGCTGTGGGTGTGACTGTGCGTTTTTCCGGATTCCAGGCTGTGGAGTTCGGGTTCAGTCAGAGCCTCAGATGCTTCCCATCCTCACACAAGGCTACTTTGGGTAAAACGGGTCAGCCCTGTTAGGAATCATCAATGAAGGCGCTCAGCAATTGCTTCCTGTGATGGAGTAGGCTTGTCACTGACCCCTTGGTATCCAGAATGGGTCAGGTAATACTTGGTTTAAATAAACTCAGTCGATTTGTACTGTCTCAGTCACATGTCCGTCTTTAAGATTTGAGACTCTAGTATTTCAAAGTACTTAGCTTCATTGTTCATGTTTGTTTATTTGTCATTTGACTTCCATTGATTCTTTGTGATTTCACATCACGAATTCCCATCCCACCCATCTTCCTATCCCCTTGCCTTCACCCTCTCCCCTGCAACCTCCCTTCCAAAACAAAACCAAATTCTAAAGAAAAACCAAAAAAACTAAACTAAACAAAGGAACAAAACCAAACCAAACCCAACACACAAAAAAGAAGAATCTTGTCTTGAAAGCTGGAGTGTGGCCCGTTGAGTTACATAGTTTACCCTTTAATCCATTCATCTTTATTTGCAAGTGTTCATTGCTATGAGTGATTGGTCTGGCTTGAGGCCCCTGGCTTCTTCTGTGCTACCAATAACCGGCTCTTAATGGGGCTCTTCCTGGACCTCCTGTTGTTATTCTGTGTCATGGAGATTCTGCTGTTCTGGATCTGCAGGTTTGTCTCCTTCACATGTCCAACATGTTCACAGACGAGTTGGATGTTATGGTGGGTCAACCCACATCCCTGGTGCTGGGCCTGGGTAGTACCTGGGTTGCTCAGCCCACCAGTCCTCCCTCATTGTCACCGCCCAGGTGAGCTCTCCAGCACTGCCATGGCTAGCTCACCCAATGCAGTGGGACCAGTTCTCCTGCTCTAGGATTCCTACCTGGGTCACCCACTGTTGTGGAATATTATTTTAAGATGTGTTACATTTGTTTTAATGGTGCAAAGATGTGTTGCATTCTTTTATGTTGCATTTGTTTGACTTTATAAAGCTGTGTTGCTTTGCCTGTCTAGAACACCTGATTGGTCTAATAAAGAACTGAACAGCCAATAGCTGGACAGGAGAGAGAAGTAGGCAGGGCTGGCAGGCAGACAGAACAAATAGGAGGAGAAATCAAGAAGAAGGAGCAAGAAGAGAAGGAGAGGAGAACGTCAGGGGCCAGTCACCCAGTTACACAGCCAGCCACGGAGTAAGAAGTAAAGAAAGGTATGTAGAATAGAGAAAGATAAAAGCCCAGAGGCAAAAGATAGATGAAATAATTTTAAGTTAAGAAAAGCTGGCTAGAAAGAAGCCAAGCTAAGGCTTAGCATTCATAAGACACAATAAGCCTCCATGTGATTTGTTTGGGAGCTGGGTGGCAGCCTCCCAAAAAGAGTAAAACCCCTAACAACAATCACACTCACGTCACCAGGCCAGCTCTACTGTTTTACCCAGGTGAGGCTCAGGGCCCTCTCTCCCAGTTGCTGTAGGGGGTACATAGAGGGTGGAGCAGACAGGGTCAACTCTCCTGCTCCCACCCCTTCAGGGCTGGCTCACCAATGTCCCCAACATCAGGGTCAGCTCTAGTGTGCTTCCCAAGAGGGGTGCAGGGCCTGCTCTCCTATGTGCTGTAGCTGCTGAGGGGAAGGACCAGTTCTCCTGCTGCAGTCTCCAGCAAGGCAGAGGGCCATCTATCCCAGGTCTAGTGAAAGGCAGAGCTGTCTCAGCACAGCATGGTTCCAATGACCACTATGCTAACACTGGTCAGGGACATCATCACAGATCGCAGCTGCAGCAGGACCATAAAACCAACTCCAGCTCTGACATCACCAGGACTCTGGTGGCAGCACAGGCTACCCAGATGGAGTATGGCCTCAGCAGCAGCATGGCCCTCAGACACCAACATGATCTCAGGTGGCTGACCAGAACCGGCACATCCACACAGCCCTTGGGTTAACAAGGAGCCAAGGACATCAACTTAGACCCTGGCTGCTGTAGGACCATGGACCTAGACATAACCCCTTGGCAGCCCTGGATCAGGTGACTCCATGGCCTCAGGTGACAGTGCAGGCCACTTGGTCAGCATGACCCTGGTGGTGGCATGGTCCTCCGACACCCTCATGGCCACGGGTTGCATTCTACATCCTGGGCATCTGTGTGGCCTTTGGTGGCAACATGGGCCAGGAACATCAACATAGACCACAGCTGTGATAGGACCATGGTCCCAAACATGGTCCTCGGCAGCAGCCTGGGCCAGGATGTCACATGGCCCCAGGTGGCAGCACAGGTTACTCAGATTGGTATGGCCCCCATTGCAACATGATCCTTTGATAGCATGGCCCCAGGTGGCAGCTGGGACTACAGGCTTTTGCACAGCCCTTAGTGGCTTCTTCAGGGTCTTGGACCAAGACCTGGCTCTTAGCAATAGCCCAGGCCCAGATCACTTTGGTCTCAGGTGGCAAACAGGCCATTCACATCAGCCTGTTCCTTACCACTCTCATCTGGTAATACAGATGAGAATTATTAACACAATGACTCTCATGAGGTATATATTTTCTAGTGAGTGATTTAAGCCTGAAGTTTATCTGTATAACCATTTTCCCTATGTGTTTTAAAATGGGATTGACTTTAGAAACTATGGGTAAGCTTGTTTTTCAAAAGGGATGAGGACACAGCTCAGTGAGTAAGTGTCCTTGCTTTGCTAGCATGAGGACCTGAGTTTGAATCTCCGGTACTCAGGGAAGAAGCAGGGAGGCTGGAGACAAGCTTAGAACTCACTGGCCAGGCAGCCTACCCAAAACAGTCAGCCTTGGGTTCAGTGAGAGACCCTGCCAGTGACAAAGGATGACACCAAATATCCTTCTCTGGCTTCTGAATGGACACACACGGGCATGTATGCACCTGCGCACTTGTGCACACACATCATAGCGCGTGCCTGAGTACACACACATACAGAGACACAAATCTGTAATTTTAAAGCATATAATTCTTTATGTCAGAATAAGCGCCTGTATTTTTTTCCACTAGCATGGTAAATTATATTTATCACATGACTTAATGAATTAGAGTATGGATTACAGGGCATGAGCCCTTCTCAGCATTTTTCAAGCCTGTTTTGATTCAACAAACACCTAAGATGGATCGTGAAGACTGACAAAGTGTAACAAGATGAAAATGAATGAAGGTCAGATGCACAGGAGAGCCCATGAAAAGCCAGGAACGAGCTGAGCATGGGAAATGCATCCATGGAGACACTGATAGAGAACCTGACTCCATTCCAGGCAGCTGCTGAAGGGGTAATGCTGTCCGTTAGGTCATGAGATTGGGGTCCACCAGCTACCAGCACAGGGAACCTTCTCAGAGGAACAGAGATGGGGTTTCCCCTTCTGAAGCTTCACTGAGATGAGCAAACATAACAGGAAGAAAGCAGTGCCCTACATTCTAAAAATAATTTCCTAGGCCAGTGGCCAGATATCAGAGCAGAATGAGCTAACAGTGGTGGATATGGGCTCTTAATCTGCTGCTGACCAAAACATATTTTGTTGGTTTGTTTCTTGCATCTTTGAAGCAATTCCATGCAATGCCCCTCTTAGGTTCTAGGTATTTATTGAACAGACATAGTTTTAATTCTTGTTTCAGGCAGGTTTTTGAAGTTCAAGAACCATGCAGTTTAAGAACCAGCCAAGTCCATGAAATAATTTGCAATGGCAATAAAGGTTATGGAATGCCTGTAAATGAACTTCAGAGGCAATATGAGATAGAAATAAAATTTCCATGACTACATGACAAGACAGACTGTGGTTTCTTCTGGGAGACTCTGCAATATGTTATCAGCACTTCCCACATTAACACTCGAGCAGTTTTATTTCCATTAGAATCCCAATGTACCCTCTCTGAACTTGGTAGCAAAATCCATCTAGAAGAATGCATGAATATCCACACTACTTTAAAATGGAGTAATACCGAGGGATTGGCTTCCATCACATATTAAACTGGTATGGCATAAATATAAAAACAGAAGAATGAACAGGTGAAAACAACTAGGTAGTAGCTTGAATTTATTACTATAGATGGTTATGACCCACCATGGGGTTGCTAAGAATTGAACTCAGAACCTCTGGAAGGGCAGCCAGTGCTCTTAACCTCTGAGCCATCTCTCCAGCCCCTCGAATTTGTTATTGCAAAAGTAGTTCGTTTGTTCATCAGGAAAGTGGCAGCCTATTCAATAAACAGTATTGTAGCCTTAGCATGGAAGACCTCCACTGTATGTAACAGAAGAAGGAAGGAGCCACTGAAGAACATATATAAATTCTACATGCTACACCAAACTTGTAAATAAAATACACTGAAAATTACAGACAAGGAGGGGAAAATGTAGCATATGTAATATTTATATGTAATGTTAATATCCTTAATAAGCAAAAGTTTTCTATAAATCACTAAGGAAAAAATAGTCCATTTGGAAAACAGACAAAAACAAGCACATGTTTCTACCACAGCAACAAGTAACCTAATCTCAATCACTTATTTAAAAATTGTGGTGTGCAGGTCAAACACGAATCAACAGATAGGGGTTTCCTGCACACCTGTGCAAAGCCCCATGCTGATAGATGCCTGCTGGATGTGGCTGAACTCCAAAATATTCATGTGCTGGAAGCTCGTCCTCCAATTCTCTGGTACTAAGAAGTAGTGGGCTCTCTGAGATGTGGGGACTAGAGGGAGCTGATTGGGTTGTGAAATCAGAAAGGGATCGATACTAATGCAGTGGGTTAAGGCTTCCAGGAGTGTCAGCTTCATCAAGACGAGGTTGCTGTAAAAGAACCAAGTGTGTCTCCCACCTCCCCTCA